ATCCTAAACTTTTCTTTTTCAACTTGAAATATATAATGCCATTGAGATGAAAAATCAAGTCAATACTGCTAAGAAGAGCAAATACTTTGTATAACCACCCCGAGACCCTTTGGGGAGAGAGAACGGGTTATAAATAAAGATTATTATTATTATTATTATTACTACTACTACTATTACTACAGATCCCAGGAATCCATAACATTGAACGATGGCAGTCAAAGTGGTGTCAAACTGCATTCATTCTCCAGTGTAGACGCACCCAAGTCTTAAAAACCTTAGTAAAAATATGTCCTGCTGTTTGTCCTCAAATGTGTCAATAGGGCCACTTTGGCTCTTTGGAAAGCTCTGTGGAAACCAATAGCTTTAAATATGCAGCTCTAATTGTATCCAAATTTGTATTTGAATATATAGATTAAGAAGCAGTTTCTGAATCCAGATTATCTGCTTTGAACTGGCAGTGTAGATACAACCGGAGTGAGCCCTCATAGTGGCACTTATTTCGGGGTAATTATTCTTTCGGATTTAATTGTGGAACAGATCGGTGGCTTTTGCTGGTTCTACACTGTCATATAATGCAGTTCGGACTGTATTATGTGGCAGTGAAGAACCGGCCTTTATCTATTAGTTGTGGCAGCTGAAAAAAAAAACTTTCCCGAATCACACCAAGCACAAAAAAGCTGGACTGCTCGCATCACCAAGGGAAATATTTAATGGGAAGCATTCCAAACCAATCACCCGGGAAACACTGCCACTGGAAACTAAACCTTTAGCATTACTACGATTTTAGAATAGTTGAAATGGGTGGAGAAAAACTATTTTCTCCCTCTTTCTAAGAGCGTAACGAGGAAATGCCTGACTCTTATTGCACCACAGAGGCCAATGAGGGGCCGCATCCGGTCTGGCTAACCTTTAGAGAACGCGGGCGATGACGTAAGACTCGGGGAGCCAATCGCCGGGCTCCGTTAATTTCTCACCGGCGAGTGAAGGCGGCATTCTATTTGCGCGCGAGGAGCCCAAACACTCTAGGGATGCGCCATGTTTATCCCGTGATAGTCACCTATGAATTTGTTTCAGGCCCCTTCCACACAGCTGAATAAAATCCCACATTATATGCTTTAAAGCTGGAATATATGGCAGTGTGGACTCAGATAACCCAGTTTAAAGCAGATATTGTGAAGTTTTCTGCCTTGATAATCTGGGTTATACGACTGGGTTATACGGGTTATATATGGTGAAACCCTCTGAGCCTCTTCATAGCACCTCGGAAAAAGTTACATTTATTTCTAGCATCCCTTTCCCCATTACTATTGGGGTTAAAATCCCCGCCCCCCCCCCCCAATTTCTTTCTGAACAGGGTTATTCTAGTTTACGAAAATTATATTTTCTGGCTGCATCTACATGATAGAATGAATGCAGTTTGACATCACGTTAGCTGTCCTGGTTCAATGCTATAGAACCTTGGGAGTTGTCATTTGGAGCACTGTTTGGCAGAGAAGGCTAAAGCCCTTGAAAGGCTACAACTCCAATTGTCCCACAGCATTGAGCCATGGCAGTTAAAGTGGTGTCAGACGGTATGAAGGCCCCATCCACACTGCCACATAATGCTGTTTAATAACGTTGTGCAATTGCATTATATAAGACTGGATTTAGACTGCTATATAATCCAGTTTCTGAAACCAGATTATCCGATTTGAATTGGATTATGTAGGCCCCTTCTATACTGCCATATAATCCAGATTATCAAAAACAATGCACATCTGCTTTGAACTGGATTATATGAGTCTGCACTGCCACAGTATATGGCAGTGTAGATGGGTCAGAGGCCCCTTCCACACAGCTGAATAAAATCCTACATTATCTGCTTTAAACTGGAATATATGGCAGTGTGGACTTAGATAACCCAGTTCAATTGCAACATCATCTTAAGTAGCTGGGGGGGGGGGGTTGTTAGGAATCATAGAATCATAGAGTTGAAAGAGACCCCCTGGGCCATCCAGTCCAAGCCCATTCTGCCAAGAAGCAGGAAAATTGCATTCAAAGCACCCCCGACAGATTGCCATCCAGCCTCTGTTTAAAAGCTCCCAAAGAAGCTCGGAGAAACGCCAGTACCTCTGCCTTTCGATGGGCATTATTCCCATTGAAGCCAAGGGGAGTTGACTATGGAGTAAAACGTTATTTAACAACCTCGTGGTAAAATCCCCATTTTACAGCAGGAGACGCTGAGTATCCTTTCCATTCCCCTCCTTTCCTCCTTTTTTGATAGGTTTGGTTCCAGAACCGAAGAGCCAAATGCCGGAAGCAGGAGAACCAGATGCATAAAGGTGGGTAGGGCCTTGGGAGGCGGCTGGAAGGGTGCCTGGGGAGGGTGGGGGTTCTGGAGGTGAAGAGGGCGATGCCTTGGCCCTGGGCACGGATCTCCTGCCTCACCCCGCCCTCTCTCTTCTTGCAGGTGTCATTTTGGGGACGGCCAGCCATTTAGACGCCTGCCGGGTCGCCCCCTACGTCAACATGGGCGCCCTGAGGATGCCTTTCCAGCAGGTAGCGCGTTTTCTTTCCTTGGCCCGCCAGGGGATGATGCCCCTTTCTTTGCCTTGGAATTGCAGGGTTGGGACCACGACAACAACGTGTGCTGCTGGACTGTATTTCCTGTCTGCCTATCGGCCCATCGGAGTTGTAGTCCTGGGGTCCCCTTCTACACTGCATATAATCCAGATTACCAAAGCAAATAATCCACATCTTGGATAGGACCTCACAACCTCTGAGGATGCCTGCCACAGATGTAGGCGAAACGTCAGGAGAGAATGCCTCTAGAACATGGCCATATAGCCCGAAAAAACCACAACAACCCAGTGATTCCGGCCAGGAAAGCCTTCGACAATACAAACCCACATATTCTGCTTTGAACTGGATTATATTTGTCTACACTGCCCATATAATCCAGTTCAAAGCAGGTAATCCAGATTTTATATGGCAGTGTTGCCTCAGTGCCCTTCCACACTGCCCTACATCCCAAAATATCAAGTCAGAAAATCTGCTTTGAACTGAGTTATCTGAGTCCATACTCTGATAATGTCAGATTTTCTGCCTTGATATTCTAGGATATAGGGCTGTGTGGAAGGGCCCTCAGAGGCACCTTTGGGGTTTTCCTCTTTCCCTATGTAATTGGCCAGATCTGCACTGCCAAAGAATGCAGTTAAAACTGCGTTATATGGTAGTGTAGATCCAGGCCCCTTTCACACAGCTGAATAAAATCCCACATTTTCTGCTTTGAACTGGAATATATAGCACTGTGGACTCCGATAACCCAGTTTAAAGTGTTGATAGTCTGGGTTATATGGACATGTGGAAGGGCACCCAGCTATTGACTCAAAACTGGATTAAAATATGATAGTTTGGCTCTCTCTCTATGTATATATTAACTGCACTGTAGAATGAATGGAAATGGCTCAATGTTATGGGATCCTGGGATTTGTAATTTGGTGAAGCATCAGCACTCTTTGGTAGAAAAGGCTAAAGATCTTATAGAGTTACAATTCGCAGGATTCCATGTCATGGAGCCATGGCAGCTAAAGCGCTGTCAAACCCGAAAATAGAGAAGGTGGGCAACTGATGCCCCCCTTCTAATGTTGGATTGTCACTCCCATTTGCAAGTCACAGTGAGCTTGGCTGAGTGAAAGGCTGGATCTACACTGCCATATAATTCAGATGATCAAAATAGTTAATGCATATTATCTGCTTTGAATTGGATTATATGAGTTCACACTGATACATAATCTAGCTCAAAGACAATAATCTGGATTTTATTTGGCAGTGTAGACGGGCCAGAGAATGTGGTGGCAAGCCATACTGTAGTTCTCAAGTTTAATGGGATTTACTTCCAGGTAAAAGAGGCAGAGGTTGTGCAATGAGGAAGTTGTTTTCCAAAAGGCATTTGACATTAGAGCAACATTTATATCAACTTTTCCAAGCCCTTTTGGTATGATGCTCATGAACATTTGATTTTGAACCTTTTAATAAATAGTCTTGTTTATACATTGAGGTTTTCTTTAAGTGCCTCTAGACCAGGCATGGGCAAACTTTGACCCTCCAGATGTTTTGGACCGCAACTCCTACCGACTGTTAGGAATTGTGGGAGTTGAAGTCCAAAACACCTGGAGGGTCAAAGTTTGCCCATGCCTACCTTAGACTGTAGAATTGAGGGAATTTGACACCAATTTAACTGCCATAGTTCAGTGCTATAGGATCCTGGGCATTGTAGTTTTACAAGCTCTTTAGCCTTTTCTGCTAAAGACTACAATAGACACTTGGCTGTAGTGTGATTCCTGGTGCTGTACAGAGCATAAAAGTGATGTTCTCCTCTAATAGAAGATACAATATATCAGTCTGACAAGAAGTGAGTGAAAAGTATTAATAAGTCAGCAGTAGAGATGATGGCCTGGTGGGAGGGCGCCAGGAAGGGGCAAGAAGACAGACCCAGTGAAATGGAAGCAGTTTCACTTCTGGACGTCTACACATCTGCCTTTATTGTGCATTTGATTATTTCTTCCAATGGCCCTTAAAAAATCCTCGTGAAGTTTAATATTCTGGGCCATAATGCCACAGTTAGCATGACCATAGTGAATGGGGACTTTTGGAATTATCTTCCCTTAAAGGAACTTTTCCAAACTCTGGGAAATTCTCAAATAACAAAGTGCTTAATTCTCAAGTAACAAAGACAGTAAGTTGGGTGAATTTCAACAGCATGCCTTAAATTAGCCCTGATTTAGACCCCATCTACACTGTCATATAATGCAGTTTCAGAATTCAGATTATCTGCATTGAACTGGATTATATGGCAGCATAGGCTCATATCATCCAGTTCAATGCATATGATCTACATTCTGAAACTGCATTATATGGCAGTGTAAATGGGGCCTTAGATTCGAAACATATACTGCAGGAAGAAGCCAAATCCACGTCGATTCTATTTTGAATTATATCCTGCATTGGTAATAACAAGGGGAGGCTTGCCTGGCTATTCAGAAACTGCATTGATAATGTTTTGATCTCTTTGTGGGATGAAATGATTGAGATGGGTGCAGATCAAAGTACACTGACATAGGGCACATCTACACTGTAGAATAAATGCAGCTTGACACACTTTAACTGCCCTGGCTCAATGCTATGTAATCCTGGACGTTGTGATTTTACAAGATTTTTAGCTTCCTCTACCAAAAAATGCTGGTGCCTTATCAAACTTCTCCCAGAATTCCATTGAATGCTATGGAATTCTGGGAGAAGTTTAATAAGGCACCAGTCAGGGCAGTTAAAGTGGTGACAAAGTGCACTGGAATCCCTGCTCAGCTAAAGAAATCTGGCCTGGAAACCACAGTGATAGGTTTGTCTTAGGAGTTCTAGAAGTCCCTAATGACTACAAAAATACCAGGAGCCAAAGGGAAAGATTTTTTTAAAGTCACCTTGGAAAACCTTCACCCCTACAGTCTTTGGTTCCCTCAAAGTAAAATTAGTATTATTAGAGGAAGTAGGACCAATGAATGTAAATGAGTTGTTAGTATTTATATTTATCTGTAATAATTTTAGAGGTGGAACAGCCTAGGGTTGTGGATGGTTTTGACCAAAATAACATCACTACATGCTGCTGGCCTATGTATGACACAAAACACACTTTCTACTTCTCTGCCTTATTGTTACATGGATCCCCGTCAGAACATGAGGCAACAGCATAAAGTGCAGGACTAGCTAGTAGAAATGAGCTTCCGTTTCCTTAGCATCTCCTGAAAACCTCAAACCCTTTCCCCCAACCACATTTGCCTTCCTGATTTAGCCACTTGTATGAGTTATATTGTCCCAGGCCCTTTCTATACCGCCATATAAAATCCAGATTATCTGCTTTGAATTGCATTGTACGGCAGTGTAGACAATATAATCCATTTCAAAGCAGATAATGTGGATAATCTGTATTATATGGCAGTGTAGAAGGGGCCTCAGTCTTCCTACTGGCACTTATTTAGGGATATTTTAAGCCCACCCTATGCCTTGGGATCTCAAGGCTGAACACACTCATGTACATGTGACTTCAGTTCGCCTGTTGACCCATGGCAATCCCATGAATTCCACAAGTGTTTTAGCCAAGGAATCTTCAGAGGTGCTTTTCCAGTTCCTTCATCTAAAATAGAGCCCACCTGACGTTGGCATTTATTGGTGGTCTCACATCCAAATATTAACCAGGTCTGATTCTATTTAACTTTCAAGATCAGATGGGATCTAGTGCCTTTAGGGTAGTTACCAGCCATTAAAACAGTTTTAAAAAAAAGAAATAACATGCCCAGTTTAAGACGTGGCAGTTATGACCACTCCTCCTTTTAGATACCTACAAGCCCAGCATGGAGAAGGAAAGCCAAAAAACTTGGCTGATTTCCTTGTAAAAAATGCTCCAGCCACCGAGACACCATGAAAAACAGAACAAACCCATTTATTTCCTTAAGAAAACAGAAAGGAGGAGGAATGTATAAGAATTTGCTCCTCCTGAGGGTTTACAGGCCATCGGCCTTGTTTACCACCTTGTCCGTTTCACCTTCTTTAGCTCTTACGGTTGAGGACAAAATAGAGCAGGAACATAGCCTCCTTTATGTCCTGCAAAGGGACTCTGTATGGTTAAGTGCCTTGCTGTTTGGTTGTGAGACTGTTCACCTTTGGGATGGATTTCTCCCACTCGGAGGAGACAGAAGTGGGCCTCCAGACCAGGACACCACAGGGGCGGAGTGACTCTGTGGGTGTCTGGCTTGCTCCAGAAAATCTGCAGCGCTTCTCTTCAAAATGAAGGAAGAAATCTCCCTTTTACAAATATAGAGGTGTAAGGAAAAAATATGAAGAGGCAGCTTTCAGTCCAATAACTTGGTTTCTGGCTGGAAGGACAGGGGAAGAGTAATGGACAACCATCAAACTTTCTTTAATGTTGTTTATATTTTCGAAGAGACAGAATATGATGTTACACATATATATATATAGATAGGATATGATGACACAGGCCTATTTAGATCACCCTGGCCAGGCCATATTATCCAAAATTAACTAAGTAGTCTACAGTTTTTATGATTTTTTTTATCCATTACCCAGGAGCACTGTGAGAGGTGATAAACAAAAACTGTGAACTAAATTGCAAATAAATAAACATTCTCTAATAAATTGAAATTGGAAAGGTCTTTTCGAGGAACTATAGTTATGGGTTGGGGGATTTGTAGCCAAAAAGGAACATCTTTAGACTTCAAGGATAAATTGGATAGCTGCATATAAATATGTCCTTAAATGGCCTCTTGGGTGCAAATCTATATGCACACTTGGGGCATTGAATGGGACTTGCTTCTAAGTAGGCACGCCTATAGGATGGTACTGTAAATGCCGAAACAGGAAAGAAGGATAGAGAACTTGATTCTAGTCAGTACTGACTGTATATTCCTGGTACCCAGAATTAAATAGGGATAGGTAGAGTTAACATGGTGCATGGTTTGAGTAATGACCTAGGATGCTGAAAACCAATGCTGGAATCTCTACTCAGCCATGGAAACCCACTTGGGCAAGTCAGACTCTCTCAGAGGAAGGCAAAGGCAAATTCCCTCTGAGCAAATCTTGCTGAGTAAACCCCATGAAAAGATCACCTTATGTTGTCATAAGGCACACAACAACAACAGTAGCAACAGAGTCAGATATCCCATCTCTCATCTTCTCTCACCTCCTGTTACTTCACTCCTTCTTCCTTTCCTTGAATATTTGTTAGGTAAAAGCAAGCAATTTTAAAATGGTCTTATTTATCACCATCCTAGAAGGGAAAAATAATAATACTAGGGACTATTGATGGCCAGAGGTGTGCAGAATAGCCTTGAGGGCATACCTCCTGCATGGATTGACTGCATGTTCAAAACCCACTTCATGCCTACTGATTTTTGAAGCCATTTAACCCCACAGTGTTCTGTATTAAATTTGCCTCAAGGGGTTAACAGCAATTAAAGTTAACTGTAAGTGCCTTTTCTTTTTTTAGTATCCCAGAGGAATTAACAAAACTTTTAATATGTTTTCCCAGGAAGCATTAGTTTTGCTTGGCTGATTGATAAAACTCTTGTAAGATGTGACAATCACACTCCAGTTAGGAAAGAGTTAGGTCTGGAAGAGCAATATTATAGCACACATGGGAAATATAAGTTGTACAGAGGTTAGAAAAGTTTCTTTTTCACTTTTTGACTTCCAGAATGTTGCAGTCACTGTGCTGATAGGGAAATGAGGGATTGTAATCAGTGTCCTCAATTTTCCCAGACTTTGTTGTAATTGGTATCTTTAAACATTCAGTAGTATGCAGCAATTCACCCAGAAAAGGACTGTCTGGTTGATTGTGATGTTCAGATAGCGCCTTGTGCAAAAACAGATTTAAATGCAAAAGCAAAAGAGCAAATATCACCCTGATCACTTTTATTATTAATGTACACAGCCACATAACTATGGGGATTGCCTTTCTACACCTCAGCCTTTAAATCTTAATGGCAGTTACAGAAGTTTTTTTTAAAAAAAACCCAGTTTTATAAAATTCACCCCTTTAGTGTGACATTAACTTACATATGTGTGTGCCTTCAAGTTGCCTGTCAGTTTATGGTGACCCATTAGTCTTGTTGGGTTTTCTTAGGCAGGAAACACTCCGTGTTAGGCCCCTTCTACACAGCTGTATAAAATTCAGATTATCTGCTTTGAACTGGATTATATGGCAGTGAAGATGCAGATAATCCAGTTCAAAGCAGATAATGTGGACTATCTGCCTTGATACTCTGGATTATATGGCAGTGTAGAAGGGCTCTTAGTTTTACCATAGTCCTTTCTCTGAAATATAGCCTACAATACCTGGTATTCATTGGCAGTTTCCCATTCAAGTACTAACCAGGGCCAACCTTGCTTACCTTTCAAGATCAGATAAGATTTTGTGCCTTTAGGGCAGTGTTTCCCAAACTCTGCTCCTTCAGGTATTTAGGATTTCAGTTCTCAGAAATCCCAGCCAGTTTACCAGGTATTAGGAATTGTGGGAGCTGAAGTCCAAAACATCTGGAGGACCACAGTTTAGGAAACTCAGCTTTAGGATATTCTGGTTGCTGGCTACCTTAGTATTAACTATTATCAATACTTAGAAGACATTACTAGCCAACACTATACTATATATAACATTACTAGCCAATACTATTGTGTAAACTAGTATCAATACTTACAATATGTTACTAGCCAGCACAGTACTAGTACCTACATTTAGTAGACATAAATAAGCAAATATTGCAAAAATTACTGGGAAATTCTCAAAGACTGGAGTTTTCCAAGCTCTTGTACACCATCAAGGGAGCTTTTGACAAAGGCAGAGCTACTCATGATGTATTTGTAGGAAAAGCTTCCTCATTGTTACAGCTGTCTGACAGTAGAATATGTTGCCTTGGAGCATGGTAGAATCTCCTTTTCTGAAGGTTTTTAAGCAGAGGCTGGATGGCCATCTGGCAGGATTGCTGTGATTGTGTGTTACAGCATAGCAGGGGGCAGGACTGGATGGTCCATGTGGTCTCTTCCAACTCTAGCAGTCTATGTACCATATACACTCAAGTATAAGCTGAGGCATCTAATTTTACTACAAAAAGCCGAGGATGGAAAATGCAGCAGCTACTGGTAAATTTCAAAACAAGAATAGATACCAATAAAATTACATTAATTGAGGCATCAGTAGGTTAAATATTTTTGAATATTTACATAAAACTGTAATTTAAGAGAAGACTGTCCAATTCTGATTAAACCATTATTCTAACCTCCTTCAATGTAAATGTGCTTACGTATCCTTCAAAAAACTATAAAGAGAGTAAAATAATAAATGTAAGAATAATAATAATAGAGTAAAATAATGGAAATGTAATAACAGTAATCATAGAGTAAAATAATAAATCTAATAATAATAGAGTAAAATAACAATAACAGAGCAAAACAGAGTAAACAAATAGAGTAAAATAATAAATGTAATAATAACAATAATAAATAGAGTAAATAATAAATGTAATAATAAATAGCTTAAAGGAATGAATGTAATAAAATAATAATAATAGAGTAAAAGAATGGAAATGTAATAATAATAAGTAGAGTAAAATAATAAATAGCTGACTGAAATATAAGCTGAGGGGGGCTTTTTCAGCCTAAAAAAGGGCTGAAAAACTTGGCCTGTACTTGAGTATATTCGGTAATTTCACAGGGCCACACTAATGGAGCAGAAGTTCTCTGGAAGCTCCTGTACTAACTCTCTCTTTCCTTTTTTGTGCTTGTTTCCCCACTTCTTCCAGGTCCAAGCTCAGCTGCAGCTGGAAGGGGTCACCCATGCCCACCCACACCTCCACCCTCACCTGGCTGCCCATGCCCCTTACCTGATGTTCCCTCCACCCCCCTTTGGACTGCCTATTGCCTCCTTGGCTGATTCTGCCTCGGCAGCTGCAGTGGTAGCGGCAGCAGCAAAGAGCAATAGCAAGAATTCCAGCATCGCTGACTTGAGGCTCAAGGCCCGGAAACACGCAGAGGCCCTGGGGCTTTGACATTTTCTTCTCCCAGAAGCCTTTCTGTTGCCAGGGATGGACAATAATTCTCTCCTCTAGCCAGCATTCAAGCTTTGCTGGGATAAGGACAATTGGTACCTTTTCAAAAAGGCCTGCAGGTAGACACAATCAGCAGTGGCTTCCTTCCTCCCCTCCCAACCTCCCTCTCTTCCTTCTCTTCTCCCTTCTTTCTTTCTTCCCTCCCTCATCTTTCTTTAGTTCAAAGAAGCTAGCAATTTATTCAGTTGATCTGAGGACTGAAGGACTCACTGGCCTACCTGTTTTATTATTATTATTATTATTGTTATTATTATTATTATAATATTATATTATTATTATTTTTGTAAAGGCACTTAGTGCTGATGATTGCAGTTAAACTGTTCTTCTGCCACCTGGTGTTTAATCCTAAAGTGAAATCAGTCTGAATCAAAGTTAGAAGTATGAATTAAAAATATCTGGAAAACTTTTAGAAGAAAGTAAATTTGGGGCGGGGCACTCTCCAAACCACGTGGCATCCATGAGTCTTGGGACAACTGGAGCTTGAGTCTGGCAAAAGCGATCATCTTGTCAGCCTGACATCATTTGCTGCTGCCAGTTTTGCTACTTTATGCATGTGCCTAACTTTAAACACCGTTTGAAAAATCACCAATTATACCGGGGGGGAAAAGAGGCTTCAGAAAATCCTTGGGGCTGGTCTCCATTAAGATGACATTTCCTTTGTTGCCACAGTATTCTTTCATTCTCATGACTTTCTTCCATTATGAAGGAGCTGCTGCTGCAAAAAAACTGGTTTGAATTCAAAGGTGGGATTTTAGATCTGAGACAAGGCGCTTTTCTCAAAACAAAGCAGTCCAAAAGGCGACATTCTTCATAAGGAGTGATGACAACAGCCACCGCAATGAAGCGTTTGTGCGTGTGAGAGAAAGACACCAAACTTAGTGGTGATCCAAAGGATGGGAGCAATGCTGAACACATCTCCCTTAAAGCCACCTGAACAAGCTGAAACTTTGTGCCGTACAAACAGTTTGATTCCATCGTTTCTATTTCCATACACCTGGATCTCTGCGGAAAGCCTTCTTGGTTTAACAGGATCTTGCGTGGTTGATTCATCTGTCATAGATGGATACACAGTTTTAAAAGCATAATACTGATGCAGCATTAATTTTAGTGAAAATGCAATTAAGTGCAGTAAAGTGCAATACTGTAAATATTATAGATTAAAAGGGAAAAAATAGCTGCACATTCTTATTCTGTTCATAACCAACTCTGCAGGAACTGTAACAGTATTCTTTGTGCTCAGACCTGGGAGTTGCCATTTTTTTTTTTTGCCAAATGATATTGTCTGAGCCATTAACAGATTGGTATAGAAATATGAACTGCATATATAAAAGAGAATTGCAATGATTTTGAATCCACGTCATGTGCCATATTTCTGGGAACTAACCTCTCAAATGCCTGTATTAATGATTATAATTATTGTTATTATTATTATTTGGCAAATTGTTCTAAAGCAAGGAAGCAACCATCAAGCCAAATGTTGTGTAGAAGTGGACAAGTTCAGTGTTCAGAGAGGAGGAAGGAAAATGGATGTTATACACAGCAAATGAGACCTCTGATGCTCATCAACAAATATGAGCTGCAAAGGCCTGTCATAGCAATGGAGGGAAATTCCTTGAAATTATATTACCAAAGTGTCTAGGTTTATTATACCCATATCTCCCACTCGCATGTAAATTCCTTTAAGCCAATTTATTAACTGGTGCTGCTTCTGGAAACAAATACTGCTCTTGTCTACTTCTATATCTGTTTTTGCATTTGATATAAAAGCCTCATTGATGGAATCTCTGCCTCTCAACAGCATAAAAGTCATTACATCTGTTCAGTTTGCCCTCAAGTGTATTTCTTTTTAAGCAGTCCATTAGCGGTTCGATGGGAGTGGTGGTTTTTTTTTAAAAATTTATTCAGTGTCTGTGTATGGTAGTAATCTATTGAATGAAAGGAAAATAGGTACAGTCCCTTTATTTGTGGATTTGATATCCATGCCTTCACTTACCCACACCCTAATAATACTCTCCTCTGGAAATGTTTGCTGGTTGACTAGGGGTGCGTCTACAGTATAGAATTAATGCAGTTTTACACCACTTTAATTGACATGGCTTAATCCCAGTGTCCCAGGGCATGGAGCCATGGTAGTTAAAGTGGTATCAAACTGCATTAATTTTTCAGTACAGATGCACCCTAGGTCCTCCAGTGCAATTTTGTGGTATCCTTCTGGCCCAAGTATAGTCAAAATATAGCGTTCTCTATTACACATGGTTTTAGGTATCCACAGGAGATAGGTGGGTTTTATAAAACATTTTCTGCAGATATGGAATTGTATTGTATTGTATTTTTCCTTTTGATGCTCCTAATACCCTGTTTCCATGAAAATAAGACAGGATCTTATATTAATTTTTTGCTTCAAAAGACACATTACAGCTTTTTGTTTTTCAGGCAATATATTATTTTTCCAAATTGATTTTTTTATGAACTGTGACTAGGGCTTATTTTTGAAATAGGGCATATGTTTTGAGCATCCTCAAAATCCTGAAAAAATCATGCTAGGGCTTGTTTTTGGAGTAGATTTTTATTTTGGGGGAAACTGGAGAATGGCATTTGCTAACTAACAAGTTATTGTACTTTTGGGGAGTTTTCAGTTCTCCATTTCTTTATTCTGTGCAAAGCTGATAACATTTTGACATGTTTGAGAGTTGATACATTCTACCTGACTTTCCTACCTCTCTATGAAAGCTCCAGTACCTCTTTATGCCAAGATAATAGTGCAGACCCCAAATTAAATATACTTCCAGTTCTTCACACATGTGTATGTTCATATGTCATACTGAAATGAGTGTGATTGTGTATAAATTCCTTGTAATCTTAAAGGTGGCTTTAGCTTAGCTCAAAATGTTTTCCATGGCATTCTACTATGTGGAACCATATTCCTGTAAGGCAGAAGTCCTCAAATTTTTAAAATCAGAGGACCAGTTCATGATCCCTCAGACTATTGGGGGGCAGGGGGGGGAGGGGGTGGGTGGAGGAGGACTATTGTTTGAAAAAAATTGCACACTGCACATATTATATTTGTAGTGCAAACATTCATAGAACAATACAATATTTAAAATGAAGAACAATTTTAATCAACATAAACTTACAGTTTTGTAAATGGGAAGTGTGGCCCTGCTTTTAGCTGATGAGATAGTCCAGTTTATTAGGATTGTTCTTGTTGTGTGCCTGCAAATTGTTTCAGACTTACAGTGACCCTAAGTTGAAAGTTTTGGGCAGGGGGCAGGCAAATGATTTTGGAGAGCCGCATCTGGCTCATGGGCCTTAGTTTTCTGACATCTTGAATGCTTTTACAACACAACTTTTGCCAGGATTCCCCAGAACAAAGCAGTGATGATTATACTGGATTTCTGTTTGGATGTGGATAGCTTTGTGCAGAGCTGCAGCCAAAGGACATTATTTATGTACAATGCCTTTTGTGAATCCAGTGCGTGAGTAGCGGGAAACCAAAGGGCAGGCCTTTGGGTTAAGATCTATGCCAAATATATCTTGGGCACTTTGAATATGGGAGAGAGGAACCATTTGAGCCTAGTTATCTTAAGCGCAGCGAATAATTCCTATTCAGTGCCACCTAGAGGGCACAGTTTAACTGTGGATTCACAATGATCTTAAGCTTTATGGCTGACCTTCCTCCATAGTAGGACCCATTGTTAGATAATGCCCAATTAATCCACTATTTGCTGCTAAACTGCCACCTCCCAAACCTTGAGCCTGCCTTTGCCCTTGACTAGTTCAATGGCCTACAAAAGCTTCAAACATCAAAACTTCCCATGAATAGGAAGTTTACCAAAACAAATTACCGACAAAAGTGAAATTTGTGAGAGTTGTGCTAACTTGCCATTTTATGCCTTTGACATCTCTTTATCTCAATAGGTGGCGGGATTTGGACGCCATAGATACATTGTGTGGTGTGATCTTGTTCTTATGGCTCAGTTTCCATTCTGTTGGGCAGGCATGTAGCCGGGGGGGGGGGGGGGCTTGAGGGGCTTCAGCCCCCCCCGAAATTCTCATGGTGGTTCGTGAAAAGGCCTTACTGGTGCATTACTTAAACTGTTATGTTTATTCATATCATGATCTGATCACCATACTCAATATATCCCATATGCATGGGGGTATTGGGGTAATGATACAAAAGGTTTGCTAGGGTAGACCCTCTTTCACTCAGACTCAGCCCCCCCGAAACTCAGCCCCGAACCCCCCTGAAAAAAATTCAGCCCCCCCCCCCGAAACGAAATCCTGGCTACGGGCCTGCTGTTGGGCATATTGAGTCTTGACAGTTTTGTAGAGTCTGGGAAAAGTTATGTTTGGACTACAGTTCTCAGCATTCCCCCTCCAGTGTGACCATCAGACCTGAATTCTACACAATTTGAATCCCATTGCTTTCAATCTGTCTGCTGTAGATGTGACTGTGTTGAGAACCAGTTCATAAGTTCTAAATTCAGTTTTATTGACTTTTTTTGTTGTTCATCTATGGTCATGCAATCTTACATTCCATAGGTGACAATTCTTGTTCAGTTTTTCCTGTCTCAGGAGTCTGGCAGTCAGCTGAAAAGAAAGAATGGTTGTCGTATTGAGCCAATGGCATATACTGTTCCTTTTCTTCTATGTACACAGAATCATATAAATACCATTGATTGGGAGCCATCTCCAAGAATGGCTATATATTTGCCCTCAAACCAATGGAAAATATAATGCTCTAAGCTGCTGGATGAATGATTCACATTTTGAAGAATTTTTCCTTCCTGCCCTTTATTCAGTCAGTTGTTTTCTTTCTCCTGTCTATGCCACAAGGAAAATAAAATAACACAGGATGAAGTAAAGGTTAGGAAGGCAAGATTCTCATATTAGCGAGTGAAGAAATGGGTTGGAATAATTTCCTAATGTCTGTCTCTTGCTGTGATGAAGAATGCCAGAACTACCATGATGTTACAAATGGAAAAGTTAACTTGAATCCTGCCACATCCAGCTGTGATTGAGCACAAGTCAAACAAATGAGGAAAGATGTCATGTGGTCATGTCCTGGAACTGTACCACTTCACAGCGCACATGATCCCTTCATCAGATTTTGAGTGCCTCATCTGTACCAAAAGCATCTTGTTCCTGGAAAGCAAAGACATTGCATGTATCTTAAGACTATAAGCTTATTTTTATGACATGTTAGTTTTCCATAGGAAGGGAAGGAGACACTTTGAGGAAAGCAACAGATTATGTGCATTGTAAAGTGGCTCTGGTTCATGAGTGGATGATACCTCATACTTTCCTTCATTTATAAGATCCAGATTATCTGCTCCGAACTGGATTATATAGCAGAACTGATGAAAGCAGATAATCCACATTATCTGCTTTGAACTGGATTATCTGGGTCTACACTGCTCTGAACTGGATTATATAGCAGTGTAGACCCAGATAATCCAGTTCAAAGCAGATAATGTGGATTATCTGCTTTCATAATCTGGGTTATAGACCAGTGTAGAAGGGGCTTAGTCACTAGAAGAATTAAAGGGTAGTTTTCAACTTATCTGAAGAGGCGTTTAGAACATAATGCTATAATTCATCGGGAGTTGATTGTGATGTGAAGGCCTATCTCTGGAGTGGGAATCATATGGACTTTCCAGATGTTAAATATGTGGTTCAGAATATCAGGAGCAGGAGTCCGACAAGATCCAATTAGCCACATAGTTCCAGAATTGTGTCAATATATGTTCTGCTCTGCTCCATTGAAGTGAACTCAGTTTTCTGACTCAATGAAATCCAGGGTGTTTAAATATGGTTGGCTTATCCACTAAGCTTTATAAAGCAAAATGGTTTGTTGTTGCTTCTGGCAGACCTGGAACAAACCCAGCTCACCCTTTTGTTTCAATTTTGAGGATACTCTGGAGCATGTTGCATTTGTACAAGCCTTTCAGGGCTGCAAGATTTTGTGAACCATGTAGACTAGGTCCAGGTCTCAATGAATACAAAGCTAAGGACGAGTATGCATTTCTAGATGGCCTTTGTGTGTCTGGAAATGTGAGTTCCAAAAACTCCGGTAGTGTCCTTATTGCTTTGTGCTTACATACACAGCATATTATGCAGGTTGGATCCAATTGATAAGATCAGCATCGCATAGTCTTACACATGTACACATGGATTTGATTTCTCCATGTGGCTAGTTTTACCATATGAAACAGTTGTGATTCATTGCATCAAAGATGTCTGCAAATGGATCTAATTCGATGGATTTAGTGCAGGCAATTTCTATTGTGCCCCTTTGCTGTGAAAATCTGCAGGGTCTAACTGACAGTGCTCAGTATAAATAAAGAAATAAATACAGAAATAGATAAATAAGCACAAATTCTTATTGAAAAGAATGACAGAAAATGAACCCAAAATATTGCTAGATTAATTTTGTGAAGACGCAGAGTTTGATGCAAGGAGGATAAAACAGGGCTCTCTCTCTCTAATACACACACACACACACACACACACACACACACATGCATTCACTTGCGCGTGCGCGCACACACACACAGAAGCAGGTCCTGTTGTGTTCAATGAACTTATTCATAGGTAGATGGGAATACAATGCACGGAGAAAGTCTTGCTGAAGCAATCTATTTCTATTTAATTCTGTAAAATTAACTTTTGAACTGACAGTTTTTTCAACAAGCAAAGTAGTCTATCAGGAGATGCTTCCATTTCCATGAATACCAAGTTCTATCCTTATTTCCCTCTCAATGTGCCAGGATTACAGTCTCTTCAATTATTTAAATGATGAGAGGATGAAGCTGGATTCAA